CACTGAAGATTTGAACTTGAAAAAGTTGTCATTGTGGACTGGTTCAAGGCTATTTTATAGAGTGTGTGATTGCTGCCTAAAGCTCTGTGAAGGCTGTATATTAAAAAAAACAAAATCAGGCATATACAGTATGAATGTGGACAGACAAGCAGTAAAACTGTCATAGATTTGCCTTTGAAAGTTGCTTATGCAGTAGTAGACAGTGATGTACCTCTGGCATCAACAGGAGAACGTTCAAAGGCACATTTGATAAAATTGGCCTAAATTTTCTCATGAGAGAACAAGGCACTCCAGCCTTTAAGGATGAAGGCTGAATTGGCACTGAAACCACATAATGGTCCAATTTTAAATGAGAAGAACTCGCCTGAGAGAACACTAGCTCAGAAAAATGGCACGAGAAATTTGTGAGTGTTTACGTTTTCTGGATGTACTGCAAGTGCTGAGCTCTTTCCATTATTTTGTTGTGTTGAGTTCTAATGCACTTAACATGCCGTGTGCCTGCAGAGGACATACCTGGAAGCACTCGAGTGTGTACTGGCAGAAAACACAGAGCATCATCTCCCCTGATGACTTGGATTTTCAAGAAAAATGAAATTCAAGAACATTATATCATAAATAAGCTGCATTATGATACAGCGCTGTTGGATTATTGATGTTTTGATCAATTTTCTTTAGCAGCCACTCTGATAATACTGCAGCTGTAAATCACAGGCTCGGTCTAATACGTTATCGGTTCTATAGTAACAACTTACACTGGGACTTGTATGGCAAATGCTTCACATAAACTGATTAAAAAAAAACTGAGGTGAAGTACTCTGTAAGGGAACATTTATTTAAGATGTATGGAAGGAGTCTCCAGGGTCAGCACTTTGTAACATTCAGAGGTAAAGCTGTAACTTTAAGTATTCCTACATGGTGAAGAGGAGGAGCTTACACTTTGCAGTTCCTCAGAAACAAGCTGTATTTTTTGTCATATTAACTTCTTGAGAGAGAAAAAAATAAAGGCTGGTGAGGAAATGACTGCTTATAGCTACTATAATGTAAAAAGTAATCGTAATGTTTCAGAACATTAAATGTAACTATAAACAGATAAAAAGTGTGTGTTGTTCTTTAATAAATAAATAGTTAGCTTTTTCACATAACTGTGTTATAAGAGCAATAAAACACTTCGGGACATGGTGTTACTGGAAAATATTCAACTTCAGGTTGGTAGCATTAACTCTGCTTTCCGCTGGACCGCATCATTCCATCATTGATTATTTTTCTATACAGTGTGTTTTATTCAAATTATTAAAACAAAACAAAAAGTAACATTGCAATATTAATGTATTTCACAAAAAAAAAATGTGAGTTGACTTCAGGCATTATTTAAGAACCATGACGTCATTTTGACATGCTCTCAAAAGACATAATTGTGCTTGTCTATGTGACACAAACACACTTGTCTGTATAACACTAGCTAATGAGAATTCAGCAACAATCATGTCTTGTAAATATACTGCTTCAGGGTGTAGGCAGTGATGGAGGATTTACCTGTTGGCTATAAGGGATGTATTTAGAGTTTACTTGCACATGGTGAGGATTTAATGCAGAATTTGCACACGTTGGTATCCAGTCCTCAACTTTTCAGACATATGCTATAGGGCCAAAAGTATGTGGACACCTGACCTTCACACCCATATGTGAGATTTCTCCAAACTGTTCCCACAAAGTTGGAAGCACACAACTGTATAGAATGTCTTTGTACGCTGTAGCATTACAATTTCCCTTCACTAGAACTAAGAGGCCCAAACCCGTTCCAGCCCCTGTGCACAAAGCGAGCTCCATGAAGACATGGTGTGTGAAGGTTGGAGTGGAAGAACTCGAGGGTCCTGCACAGAGCCCTGACCTCAACCCTACTGAACACCTTTGGGGTGAACTGGAACACCGACTGAACCCCAGACCTCCTCACCCACCATCAGTGCCTGACCTCACTATTGCTCTTATAGCTGAATGAACACAAATCCCCACAGCCACGCTCCAAAATCTAGTGGAAAGCCTTCCCAGAATAGTGGAGGTTATTATAACAGCAAAGGGGAACCAAACCTGGAATGAGATGTTCAACAAGCATATATGGATGTGATAGTCAGGTGTCCACATACTTATATATAGTGTAACTACAGACTTACTATTCAGTCTATTCAGTCAGTCATGCAAGAGTTGCATGTATGGAGTGGAGTTTGCCAAAAACAGAGGCATGTCTGACCTTTCACAATATCGGGTCGAACCAGGAGCAGTGTCATTCTGACATTTTTCTGTAACCACAATACAGTATGTCATGCTGAAATGTATGTTTTGGGCTGTAAACTCAAAAAAAAAAAATGAAATGTCTTTTTAAGGAAGTGTTTGTCTTTAAAGGTGCTGGTCTAGATTGCTTAACAACCCAATCTCTGAAGCTTCTACTTAAGAGAAATCTTATAACCCCAGAGGCATGAACTACACACAGGTGTGTTTAATAGTCTGAATGGCGAGCTCAGAAAATCAACTGAAGTATCTGCATAACCTGACTACAGGGAAGGTTCCCCATGTAAATATTGATACGACGTTTAATGTTAAGTTGCTGACTCTGAATACATGGCAATGCCCTGAGAACCAAAATTTTAAATTTCATTTTTACCATGATCTTGATAACTGCAAAGGTAGTTTGATGTGTGTCTTTATACATAACATTTTGCAAAGCTGCTACACAAATGGACATTAATTGTCCTGCAATTACAGCACTTGAATGTCTCTCATTTAAAATGCTGGTGGTTTGTTGAGGCTGCAAAATACAATGAGTTTTATAAATTCAAGGTCAGTCTACAGGTATATATCTTTTTCTGTGGCGTACTTAAGAAAATGACTAATATAAGCATAAAGAACTTTTTTCTATATATGACCCACCAGTGATTATGGCAGTTTGTCTAGTGTCCAGTGACGCAAAGGGAGTTTTATCAAAGGGGAGAATGAGAACAGGAAAAGAAGAATTTGGTTTGCTTTTTAAGGATTCTTATTGCTTCCTAGGGGTTTTCTAGAAACAGAACCTTTAAGGGTGCCCACAGAGGCACAGACTAACAAAGACTTTTTTTTTTCTGAGAGTTATACAAGCTACTTTAACAGCATGGCATTTTCATTAAATCTGCATGTTGCAGACACTTTTATTTAGAGTGGCACAATATACGGAGACACAACTTCACCTACGATATAAGGATTACTGGTTATTTTGGCATGATTTGTCCTGATTAGTTATGATTTATTGGCCCTGAATGCTCTGTAAACAGCAATACACTGAGGGCATTAGTATTCATTCAGATGGTGTCGTGCATCCCAAATGCATTGTGCATTCCACACCTCGCTCCGCATCATGAGCTTTCATTACAGCCCGGCCACTACATCCACAATGACACTTACGACAGCACCTGCTCGGTGATCTTGGCCCGTTTCCTTGACAACCATGAATTTTATAGCACTAGCACTTGGATAGAGGAGTTAGACTTATCTACGAGGGTAATTGATGCCAGGAAGTCAATCAACCCCTTTCACACCCTTCCAACTGATGACTTTTGTCGGTCAGGCATGAAAAAGCTTTTTCTCCCTCCTGGGAGATAACTTGCTCCTTAAAAGACGAAATTCTGTGCCCTGTGCGACTTGAGAAACGGGCCGTTCCGTTCAACCTCATCACATTTGTACCCAAGAAGGGTTGACTGAGTTTCAGGCAACTACACCAGTGCAGGGAGAGGAAAGCAATCTGGATCCCAATGAAGTGTGTCCCTGGGCTTTTGCTGTAAACAGGGTCTCATAAAAAAAAAAAAAAAAAAAAAAAAAAACTCTAGTTGCCGGTAAAACATCATGACAGATCAAGGCTGAAAGCCTCGGCATGAATGGAACAACAAATCGGGACCCAGTCGCTTGTGTTAGCCTTGGCAGCGGGCTACTTTATTGCGACATTTCAGTACGGGTCTGGAAGTGGGGGTAGGAAGCCATGCCAATCGTTGGCATTTAAAAAGGTGGCATGGAGAGAAGAGTGGGCAGGAAATAAGTGATGGCTGAAGAGTGTCAGGGCATGGACAGATTTGGCCATGTTTTTTCGGTTCTGTTCATTATATTCAATTGATTTCCCATCAATTTATGCCACTTGTATTTTATAGCAATGGATTTTTAACTATGCAATATATTTTGTCTATAGTATGTAAGGAATAAAACCGGACGAGGCATGCTCTAATATGAAATTAGCCAACGATGTGGTGGTGTGATAGGGTGGAGTTACTCTTACCACCCAAAAAATGATTATATTCCTAGAACCACACATACCAAAGTGTTTTATTCCCTTTCATACCGCAGCAATTTGCCAATGATAATAATAATTTCTTATTTATTAAAGAATGATACATCATACATATATCCATTCATAGTGAAATGTTGTAGAACATCCATAAAAAATAAGTTATTTCTTGATACCACTTACTGTATGTTCTACATTCACCAGCCTCTTTTTTCTTCCTCTTGACGTTAATAAGACAAAAAAAGCAGCTTGTCATATTACAGAGAAACCAGAAAGTGCAAACTCATGTTGGGAAAACCATGTTGGAAAATGTATTGCTACAGCTTTACCTCTGACTGTTACAAATCACTCACAATACTGTTCATACTCAATACTGTTCAACTCATATTATGCAGGAACTATGCAGGAACTAAGCAGAAACAAATGAGTAGTTCTTCATTAACACTTATTCCTATTAAGTAAGAACTACTAGTTAATTACTCAGTGAGCATGTTAGTGATTACTGAGCCTTACATTTCTCCTGAAGAACTACTAAATAACTATTGCTCTTTTGTTGTTGTTCTTCTTCTTTCAGGTGCTCCCGTTAGGGGTCGCAACAGCAGATCATTGGTCTGCCTATTTGATTTGGCACATTTTTTATTCCGAATGCCCTTCCTGACACAATCCAGGCTTGGGACCGGCACTGGGAGCGCACTGTCATTTCCCTGGCCAGGAATCAAACCCGGGCCTTGGTGGTGAGAGTGCCATGGCCTAACCACTAGTCCTCGAGGGACCCATATCTATGGCTTTTTTACTACTGCTTAATTATTGACCACATTTTTCTTAAATAAAACTTTTTAATGAATTTCCATGAATAGTACTGTTCCACATCATCATTAACTACTGAAGAAAAACACAGTAACACATCAGTCATTAGTAATGAGTTTCAATGTGTATTACTTTACAATAACATTCCAGATCATCATTAACTACTGAAGAACAAACAGTAACACTTCATTCATTAGTAATGAGATTCTGTGTAGTTCACTTTACAACATAGTTATTATAAAAGAGTCATAGTTAGCTAGTAGTTCTGCAGGAGAAATATAAGACTCAGTAATTACTGCTTAAGACTCAGTAGTTACTGCATACCTACTAAGATACTTATTGAGTAATTAACTAATAGTTTTAGTAGTAGGAATAAGAAGTGTTAATGAAGAAGTACTCCTTCGTTCCTGCTTAGTTCCTGCGTAGTTCCTCTATGAGTTGTTGAACAGCATCGTAA